GTCCTACCAAGCCTGTTTGAAACTCATAGTTGAGACCAACAGTTCCCATATACATAGTAGACTATACTGAAACTATCAGGAATCAAAGGGTGAACTACCAAGCCTGTTTGAAACCCATACTTCAGACCAACAGTTCCCATATACAAAGTAGACTATACAAAATACTGAAACTATCAGGAATCAAAGGGAACCCTACCAAGCCTGTTTGAAACCCATACTTCAGACCAACAGTTCCTATATACAAAGTAGACAATACAAAATACTGAAACTATCAGGAATCAAAGGGTGTCCTACCAAGCCTGTTTGAAACCCATAATTCAGACCAACAGTTCCCATATACATAGTAGACTATACAAAATACTGAAACTATCAGGAATCAAAGGGTGTCCTACCAAGCCTGTTTGAAACCCATACTTCAGACCAACAGTTCCCATATACAAAGTAGACTATACAAAATACTGAAACTATCAGGAATCAAAGGGAACCCTACCAAGCCTGTTTGAAACCCATACTTCAGACCAACAGTTCCTATATACAAAGTAGACAATACAAAATACTGAAACTATCAGGAATCAAAGGGTGTCCTACCAAGCCTGTTTGAAACCCATAATTCAGACCAACAGTTCCCATATACATAGTAGACTATACAAAATACTGAAACTATCAGGAATCAAAGGGTGTCCTACCAAGCCTGTTTGAAACCCATACTTCAGACCAACAGTTCCCATATACAAAGTAGACAAGACAAAATACTGAAACTATCAGGAATCAAAGGGTGTCTTACCAAGCCTGTTTAAAACTCATAGTTGAGACCAACAGTTCCTATATACATAGTAGACTATACAAAATACTGAAACTATCAGGAATCAAAGGGTGTCCTACCAAGCCTGTTTGAAACCCATACTTCAGACCAACAGTTCCCATATACAAAGTAGACAATACAAAATACTGAAACTATCAGGAATCAAAGGGTGTCCTACCAAGCCTGTTTGAAACCCAAACTTAAGACTTGTGCCCAAGTAGATAATGGTATAGAAGAACATATTAATAACTAAACCATTAGAGACAAATGCATGTATAATATACATATAACATGCATGATAAATCAAGAAAGATAAAAACTGTCAGTTATAGATTGTTATGATATACAATATCTTGCTACATGTATATATAAAAACTCCAGTCTTGTATTGTATATTATGTCATATTTATGGGTAATGGTATTCAAAAGAGCATTTAAGATGATCATGAACCAAGTGTGTGATAAAGGGATCAGTTTTCATGTGCAAGGTCACAAAATTTTCTATGTAATAAAAAATTCCTGTTCAAAAAATGTTTTCAGAACATAATTCTATTAATATCTAATCCACATGGCATGGCATAACATCACAAAAAATGTTCAGAAATTTGTTTAAAATACATTTTGTTCAGAGAATTCAAATATATTTGTGAATATCTTTGGACATTTCTTTTTTAGAAATATTTACAAGGAAAATACTTTGGCCAAACCACTTAATTCAAATCTTTCTCAGATTATAAATGTCCATTTACAGTCGAGTGAATGGAATAATGATGATAATTATTCAAAGTCATCAGACTTAAATGACAACTGAAATTAGAGTCAACCATGATCATTAGTTGGACATGAACCAACAAATGAAATCAAGATTTCAAAGCACTTAGGGAATGAGCTATAGTCTATCTATTTGGAATGAATTGCTTCTCAAGATACTTCAAAAAAGGTGAAATTAACTATGTTATAACCCAATGCAATCTAAGCTAATCTAATCAGATACAGTAGATCAAATATTCTCCCTAAATGCAAACAAGTGGTTGCCTAGCAAGATACGCCCACTTTCCTGATACATTTTCAGTATATCAAGGGCAGTCACCTATCTGTGTCAAATCATACCAAAAATTTAATTTGTGCAAGATATTGTTGATTTAAACAAACAAACATTATTTATTAAAATTCTGACATAAACTGTCACCTCTATCACCAACAATTTTGATGAGTTTTTACTAAGTCAAGGGCAATAACTCAAATTCCATTGATTAAAAAATTGTCAAATTCAATCTTGACTAAGATCTCATCATTATAAATGATCATATCAAATTTCATTTAAATAGGTTGAAACGACGGACGGACGGACGGACAGACAGGGGCTACAACAATATACGACCACATTATAATGTGGCGATTCCAAAAAGAAAAAACAGGCAACAATAACCAATCACAGAAGACTTTTTGATGGGATCACCAATACCACTAGTAATACAGCAATTCATTTGATGTATACTGAACTTGGTGTAAAACTTTTTTGACGAAACGTTGGGTATTAATGGATGGTATTTGATGTCAAGTTTTATTATTTTTTACACATTATAATGTGGGCGTATAAAAATTGTTTGATTGTCTGGCCATGACCCTTTGTACATGTTGTATCTTAAATATTACAATAGAATATTCTATATACTGTATGTAATACTGTTTTTTAGATGTATATTTGTTAGCAATGATAGAACATTGACATCTAGTCTACAGACAGCATGACAATATCTTTCTCAGTACAGAAAGGCTAAACTGTAATTAGTATAACAGAATAACATGTTTTTTGTAAGATTTATACTAGCGCTGCACCATGAATTTGGTTCTATCCAGTTCTATCTAAATAACTTCTAGTTATTTCTTATTTGGTTATAACCAGAAGTTATCCAAAAATATACCTCCAGAGGTGGATTTCGTCTGGATATGATCCAGATAACATCCTTAACTCTTTGAACCCTGAGTGTAAATGAAATATAACGTCATATACCCTGAACTCCAAGTAATAAAAGTAAAAGCGTATGATGTTAAAATTGTATGATGTCACTTAGTAACGGCCGGTATACCGTCTGCTCGGGTATATATTGCGTTAGTGTTGAAAGGGTTAAAGAAAATCAATGTTTTGGCAAAATTTAAAAAACAACACTTTTCTTTCTTTAAAAACAACATAATCAGATGAATTATATATGTATATAACTGTTAAAAGTTCTTCTGCTTTTGTGATTGTAGTTTGGTTGTTTTTTGTTTCTTTTGTATTATATGTTGTGTTCCATTGAAGGGCAAAATTGTAAAAAAGCCAGACCTAATTTTCACCCTAATAAAGATTTTATTATTATTATTATTATTAGTGTGAAACCATACAAGATAAAAATATCACTTTGGGTATCATGTGAATGAACGCCTCAAAATAGCGTCTCAAATTGCACTGGATTTATATTACAAGAAAAGATTTTGAAACGTACATGAATTGTGTAAAATGGTATTGGGTTTATGTTCATATATAAAATTGTTTAGTCTTGTGACATGATGTGTTATTAAAATAAACAGTTATTAAAAATAACTTTATTGAGCAGTGCGAAAATGGCTATCCAAATAGGCTTTCAGTGCAAACGCATATCAAACCGATTTTTCTATGTGGTAAAAACCAAATTCATTAGTCCAGTTGCAGTGCAAAATGAGCAATAAATTTTTATTTTATTTAAATGATATGTTTGTAATATTATCGTGTTCACATGTGATATTAAGTCAACTATTAGATTTTCATAAGAAAACTTAAAAATATGGTCCAAGATGAAATTACAAACTTTCATTATTATGCTGTATATACGATAGTTTTAGGGTTCAGTTATCGGGCATAGTGGCATATAAATACCAGTAAATAACTTGTAAGAATTGAATTTGCTAACTATGTATTGTAGGAGTCATCTGTTTTTTGTCACATTTTTATTCAGATTTGTCATCTGATTATTATTTCGAGAATTCTAACACATGACACAAGGCAATTAGAGAATAGGTGAGAAATTGATACAAAAGAAATGAAATGAATGGGGTTTTACTTCTTACTTTTCTGCACCTTGTGCGGGCTACACCATGCAGGGTGCAATGAGGGAAATTTTGCCAGGACAGCGACATTAGCCTGCTCTTTTTGGATTTCCAACTGTCGAGTGATCCTTAACATGCACAGTCTGTAGCACACGGGGCCTCGGTTTATTGTCCCATCCAAACGACTAGACACTTTTTCCATGTCAGCCCCTCTTACCTACATCACTGACAGAGGGAAGAAATTGATACATACTATAAATAATTATGATGTTATTTTAGTTTCATAAAGAATTTTCATTAAATGTCACAAAATGTCTGTAGATAATTGCTCATTAAGATACCAAGAACATGAAAGTTTACTTTTATCTTTAGGGTAATGTAGAATAAGCTGTTATTTAAACTCAGAATTTGGGCCTCTTACATCTATGTAGGTTGAGAAAACTTATACAATTAGTAGACTCTATTCCAGCCTCTGATAGCTATTTGGATAGGATGTAGGCTGGTGTAGAGACAGAAAAAAAGGCCTTGTTAAATGGGAACTTTCTGCATCTCTGAAGGAGGTACAGGGGTTTTAAACCTACTTAGATATCTTGAATCTGCAAAACCCAGATATATTTGGAAAGATGAATGTTTTTGTAGTTCAGTCATACCATCATTTTCTCCCTACACCATCTATGTCATGTCTGCAGTTCCATCATTTAAAACAGCGTGCGCAGCCAAAAGTTCAAAGGTCACGTGATACCAAAAAAACTTTACGGTGATGTCCAACACTAATTTACAATCATCGGAAAGGTACTTTAATATTATGTTACAAAAAACACATCTTCGGATTTGTGGAAAATCCCCATTTAACAGGGCCTTTTTTTTTCTGACTCTACTCCAACCAACATATGTCAAAATATCCATACAATGAGATGCTCTAATGTCACTTAAACAGAGAGGTTTGGAAGTGTATATTCACCTTATATGTAACAAGGAACCAAATACATTTATACCGTGTTATTTTTGTAACAATCTCAAGGCAACAAAAATCACATAATACTTATGGTTTAAGGGTAAATATCTTACAGACCACAAGTAAAAATCAAACAGATAAAATAATAACACAATCAAAGAAGTTGAACTGTCTTACCTGTTGTGGATGATCATCACCTGGGGCTTCCCACAATCCAACATTATCTAAATTCTCCATATAACATGCGTTACAACCTGTACCTGAAAATTTAATCAATTTGGAGATGTATTCAATTCTGTTTCTAGAAAATCACAAACTTACTGGAAAATTTGGCTCTGAAACATCCCACAATTCCTCACATGGAGTCTGTCAGACCATGAATGGCATGTGGAGACTCACACAGAAAAAACATGGTAATAACTGCTCTAAAAGATATAAAACTTACCTAAAATGAGGCCAATTTCACAGTTCCTGTCACTATGGGCAGCAGACATCAATGTTCCTACAGCATCATTGACTATAGCCAATATTTCGACATCACAGTTCTGAAAAATAAAATAAACACAAAATATTCAGATGGTGTCTCAAATGGAGGTGCTAACACTAATAGATCTTACTGATAATCACTAACAATAAGTACTACAATACATATTTCTCATATGGTCCATAAAAGTCTTCAAAATGTATAGAAAAATCTCGTTTTGACTTAAGGCTAATTTCTAGTCCATTTTAAAAATATCAAAAATATTTGGATGTCTTTATTACTATGGAAAATGCAAAACACTGTAAGTTTTGTTTACATAAATGCAAATTTTAACAATAACTTGTAATGTCTTGAATATTAATGCATTTTTAGCAATAAATTTGGATATTATTGACATCAGATCTATGTGGAATGGTTATTAAGGTAATTTTTTTACAAAATATGCCAAGACTTGAACCCATCTGGTGTAACAGACTTTGTACTGAGCCTAGTTACCATAAATAGACATGGAAGCAGCTCAATGTGGCAAGAACTAGTTCTAAATAGGTTTATATTGATTTTATACTTCCGCTAAATGTAACATCATTCTATTTATACAAAGACATAATCACGGTAGATAATCTAAATGAAGTAGAACACTTAACACAATTAAAGTTTTTTTAAGTGATACAGTCCTCTAATTATTGCTTAAGTTAACTAAAAAAATTATCCAGATTTCAAGAAATACAGAAGTATGATTGGATAATAAAACAAAATTCAAAATAAATTTTAGTGATTGGCCAAGGAAACTGTTAAATCATCCTTAGTTGACCAATCAGATGATGAAAACATCTTAATTAATTCATCCTTAGTTAGTTTTCAAAAATAAGACACAGATCTCTTGAATAAAAGTTAACACGTTTGTTAACAACCCTAGGTCTAAAACATTATTAACTGTTTAATAAAGAGGCATAACCAGAGTTTATTTTCAATTTTGTTCATGTTTGTCCTTGTAACTGCACAATTAGACATTCAGTCGTGCATGATAATCTACCGATAATAACAAAGATTTTCTGAAAAGACGTCTATGTTATATAGGCCTATTATAGACCTCGTAGATTGATGGTAAAAATTACTATGAAGACTTCAAGGTTTCGTTTTTTTGTAAAAGTAAGGCTACCTTAAAATTGTAAAAGCGAAAGTAGAATCTACTGGGTGTTATAAGAAGTGTGTCACTGGACTTAAAATACACATTATCGGGTGAAATAAGATCAAATTACCATCTTAATGGGGAGATTAATAAATCAGGCAATGATAAAATTATTATGTGATGAGATTAACGCATGTTACCAACAATCAAGATACAAGTAATGATAGATATTTTGTTGATTTATGGTAGAGAATTTGGACATTGAAAACGGTAGGCCCCGTGAAAATTTGATCAGGAAAAAAACCAAAAATCGGTAGAATCGGGTATCCAGTCAGTGAAGATGTAGACAACATACAAAAGCGGTAGAAACCCGACAACATCGGTAGATTACACATGTATGTACACAACTGACAAGAAACTTAAGAAAAAGAAAAATAATGACAGTTATTTGGTTGAGCCTTCCCCAACATGTAATTTAAGGTAAAAGGCTAGATTTTAGAAAAAAACGAAGGATCATGCAGCATTCTAGATCCAAGGTATGAAAATCAGAAGTGAATGTTAAATATGGAGAATCCATATCCTGTTTTACAATAATCAGCATAGTTTACATGTAATTAATGCATATCAGTTCAGAAGTGCACTTATCATACGATAAACAGACGTCATTAAGTTTCTGTACACTTGTAACAGCTTTCAAACAATAAATAATGATCTAACATTAAGTAATCAAGAAATATTTTATTAGATATAGAGTCAATGTGACATTGTGTTTTTTTGTATTTTTCCATTCAATGTCAATAACATTTCAAATATTCACAGCTGTCTCATTATTATTTCACTTTTTCTCTAGACGATTTGGTAGACATGAACACTCAGCTGTTGTTTTGATGGCAAGTTTGACCAGACAATAGATTTTCGTCTACTTGATTAAGCGTTTTTCTAAAATTGTAAAGAGTTTTTCTAAAATTCTTATGTGTATCCTGGACACTGATAGCATCAATTTGCACTAATCAAATTTTCAATCAGATGTCTATGGTCCCTGCAATTCCATTAAGTGTTTTATGATGTCACTAATTGAGATGAAGCCTATTTTGCGAAAAATGATGTCATCTAACACTTAATATAAACATAACCACAGACTTCCGAAAATTGAAATAATACAAATTGATGCTATCAGTGTCCAGGATACACATAAAAATATTAGAAAACCTCCTTACAATACCTATTATGATTATGAGTGATAATGACTTATTCAAGGCCTTTAACGTGCCGATCGAGATCAGAACCAACAGCCACCATTCGCTCGACTGATTGAATGACGTAATGTAAAGAACTAACGCTATAACCGACTATGTTATAGAACCTCACAAAAGGATGTAAACATAAAAGAAGACTTACAGTTCTACGCTTTAAGGCTTCATGTAACAAGTGACAGATATTTTCTCCTACAACACCTTCACAACGGAAACCTTTTGTCCATTTTGACAGACGGGCAGCAGCTAAATCTTCTTGTTTACAAGGGAAGGAGAATGTAAAACCTAATGGTAATTTCTGACCCTGTATATTATGATCTTTGATAAATTTACCAATACAATCTGCTATATGATCAAATAACTGAAAAATAACAAAAGTAAAAGAGAGATTTTACATGCTCTGTTCCATTAATTCGCGTTTATTGTTTGGCAAAAAAGAAAGAGTCCCGCAATGGAAAAAATGATGCAGTTCTTTGCTATAGGAGCTAGAAATTCGTAATACAAAATGATATGTTCTATAATCACATTTATCAAAACTTACACAAGTCAAAAAGCTCATGATAAATTCTTTCACTTTAAATGACTGACAAGGGAATCAGTTACATCCAATATAGAACTTTTAAATGTGAGAATTATGTAAATTTTGAAATTGACATTAAAGTTTTTAATGGCGAAAAATCTATCATGCAATATATCGTAATAAACTTACTTGTATTCCTGTGCCTAACATAATTCTCTGAGGTATTAAATATGTTTTACTTTCAATTTCTACATCACTACCATGTAATTTGACCAGCAATACTCGAAAATTAGTTCCACCCAAATCAAGCGCTAAAAACTCTCCTTTTTCTGAAAAACAAGAAAATGGGGCTCAACAACATAAAGGAATCAACCTCAATACAATTTTGAAACAGAAGTTTTAGTAATTGAGAAATTTCTAGAAAGTGAGGTAAAAATAGTACTTTTTTTTTTTTTTAATTATAGAAGCTAGCACATTTTTAAAAAAAACATATAAGAGAAGAAATTTATAATGTCATTGTCATTAATAGTCTCCTTGCATGAAATAGTCTTAATTTCAATATTTTTGTAATATGGCATATTATAATAAAAAGTTCAACTATTATTTCATGCAACAGTTAGTTTACCTCTTTCTTACAGACATAGTACAAAAACATAGTGCAAAAATGTCATTAAAATTGTCAAGAAAATTGAATGGCACCACATGCAATAATACAATTTCCATTCTTAAATTGCTTCAACTTCTTGTACTAGTCAATTCCACCCCACCCCAAATTAAAATAAGGTTTGTTTTAGTTCCGTTTAATAAAAATGTAAACAACATGTATGGTAATATATACTAAACAGATACCTGATCCATCTGGTAATGATCGTACAAATGTCGGAAACATTTTAATGTCTGCCGCATGGTTGGTGTGTTTGGTAAGTCCAGCATTCATTTCACTGTTTAACAGGTTCATGACCCGTTTGTAGGTCAAGGTAGAAAGTTTAAAACCCTTCACGAAGGCTTCAATCTGAAAAAATATAAGAATGGTATTTCTAGAACATTCATATATTTATGAATTTATAACATGGGATTTGGTCGATTAGGACCAGAAATCCTGTTTTGATTGAGGACAAGAAATCTGGTTCGGATTGAGGTCTAGAAATCCTGTTTGCTTTTTGGACAAGAAATCCTGTTTGCTTTTTGGACAAGAAATCTTGTTTGGTTTGATGACAAGAAATCCGGTTTGGTTTGAGGACAAGAAATCTGGTTTGGTTTGAGGACAATAAATCTTGTTTGAATTGAGGACAAGAAATCTGGTTTGATGTCAGGACATGGAATCAGGTTTGGTTTGAGGACATGGAATCAGGTTTGATGTCAGGACATGGAATCAGGTTTGGTTTGAAGACATTGAATCAGGTTTGGTTTGAGGACATAGAATCTGGTTGATTTCAGGGCAAGAAATCTTTTTTGAATTGAGGACAAGAAATCTTGTTTGAATTGAGGACAAGAAATCTTGATTGAAATGAGGACAAGAAATCTTGTTTGAATTGAGGACAAGATATCTTGTTTGAATTGAGGACATGGAAACTGGTTTGATGTCAGGACATGGAATCAGGTTTGATGTCAGGACATGGAATCAGGTTTTATGTCAGGATACGGAATCAGGTTTGGTTTGAGGGCATGGAATCAGGTTTGGTTTGAGGACATGGAATCAGGTTTGATGTCAGGATATGGAATCAGGTTTGGTTTGAGGACATGGAATCAGGTTTGATGTCAGGACATGGAATCAGGTTTGATGTCAGGACATGGAATCAGGTTTGGTTTGAGGACATGGAATCAGGTTTGATGTCAGGACATGAAATCAGGTTTTGTTTGAGGACATGGAATCTGATTTCTGATATTTAACAAAATTTTATATAACCCATATACCCTAGTATTAATCACCCAAAACAACATAGAACTTTAATAAAAACAATTGCCATCTTGACAATTCCCGCCAAAAATATCAAGTGGCCTGTATAATATGGATATACTATAATTTAAACTTCAATGGCATTTAGATTACCAGCGTATAAAACATGACTTATATACAAACATGCAACTATATTAGTAGAGAATAAGATCGGAGTACATAAATCACATGTCTATCACGTATACACTCTCTAACTCTTAATATTAACAACGCAATTTTCTCTCTAATCAATTAACATGGAAATGTGATTCAGCCTATAGAATATTCTATACTGAATGAGAGAAATACTGATGTTTCCATATTTAGATCATTACCTTGGAATCAAAATAACTTATTGCAACACTTAATACCCTTATTAAAGATGGAATGCCACTGTTTCTTTCAATGTTGGTTGAAATCTAAAATAACCACTGATATTGAAGCAAATTTGATATCACAAAAGTTGCTTAAAGTTTCATGTTTCAAAGATAAATGGAACTTTAAAGCATGACTTAAAGTATGTATAATATCAGAAAAAGCAAATATTTCGGAAAAAGACCAGAGATATTTTATGATAATAATAACGCATAGAAATATAGCCATAGAAAATTCATTCATTTAAAATTTAACAAAACTCCTGTAAATATATTTGGTTTGAGGCAATGTTGATTTTTATTGTGCAAAAGTTCTAATGTAAGACATATTAGTAAGAATTCAATAAAGAGGGGATATCTACTTGTAATATTTTCATATTTAGCTCGAAAAACTTTATGTCTTCTTGAAACTTTATGTATCTTCAACATCAACAAGTAATGTTTTCACAAGAGCAGTAAACCAACTTGAAATTTAGTCAATTCTGCTGCTCCATTCCTATGTTATTGTAGGACTTCGTCATGTTATCTCATTTGGTTCCAATAAAGTTTGAAGTACTTGCGATGTTACAGTTTCTTTATTACAAGATATAGGTAAGCTTGTGGTTGGCAATATAATAGGAGTTAATTAACATAGCTTATTTCTGATGTAAACAAGGGTCTGTGAGAGCAACATAATGTTTGTTTCACACTATCAAAATAACGATAATAAAACGGCTGTTTTCTTACATTATTGCAGACAAACTAAATGTCAATTTATGAAATGTGTTATGGATGGCTGATATAGAGATCTTGATACTGATAAACAGACACTTATTATCTGCTGGGAAAAATAGGGGACCTCAAGCTAGTGCTTTTGAAAGTCGTCTGAGGTCACACCCACCATTTAATCAATTCTTAATGTGACAAGGTTGTCATTGAATGAAAACACAATAAGTAACTTTATTTATAGTATCAACGTTGGCACAGCTCTAGTGAAATATAACTACATTATACAGGGAGAGTTTTTATTGGCACAATATATTCCTGGTATTCTGATATTTGATTACCTCTACAGACCACCAAGAACTGATAATCCAAAATATTTGGTGCTATAGATATAAACCTATGATAATTATTTAACCTAAGATTGAACTCTCTTTTCATGAAGGCAAAAAAATCGACCAAATGGCCAAGAGCTAAAATTTTCATTCTCTTATCTCATTCTACATTTAATAAACCGAATTAAGAAAATTATGAAGCCCAAAAACTGTGAAACTGTCTGATTTTCTTTAGTGGGTAAAACATCTTATTCTTAAATTATTAAATATCTTAATTAACCTTGAAATGTAAAATATCAAAAATATTGAACCTTGAAAATTCAAATCATCCTGATATAAAAAAAAATACGTTTGATTAATTTCAGTCATTCAGATATATATTTACGTGTAATTTATGAACAAAATAGACAAGATTTTATTTCTTTTCCAGACATATATTTTTTGAAAAGAAGTAATCTGTAAACAAGTCTGTTTTCTTTATGGCTTGAATATAGGTGGGTGGTAGATTAAACACAAAACGCATTTAGTAAATCCTGAATAATAATATTATGGTCCAAAGGTCGTTTTTTAATAACAGTCTATAGTTGATATCAATAAATTGATTTCTATTTCATACTATATTGTTATTTATTCTTCTAAAATATCAAAAATTGATTCAATACAGTTAGGTATTTCATTGGCTGTTAAATCGCAGTGGAAAATTTGTAAAAAACTGGGCCAATGTGGCATTTTACATTAATGAAATAACATACATAATGCTTATTATCAAGATGAGCAATTGCATGCAAATTTAGCATGTTTACTTCAAGACTTCTTCTTTGCCTTTATTTACTACAGCTTTCAGCTTTTTTTAAGTGGACATTAAAGGGATAGATGCACCATTTATTTGACCAATCAGTAATAGTGTCCACAGCTCACAGTTGAAACTTGAGCCTTCAAATCCATGTGAGTCGTCTTTTCTTGAGACACTGCCATATATAAACATCTATTAAATAGGAAAGGAAATTCCTAGTTTGAGATATTTTTTAAGAAATTATTCAATATTTGTACATTTCTAGTACTTCTGAAGACTATTTACATATATTCAGGAATCAAATCCACTAAAAATGGCGCACCTGTCCCTTTAAGGCAATTGGATTCTAAATGTAATATATGTATAATAAATTGCGTATCAGCATTTGTGTGTCCTATTCCCAAAGATATGCTTGATATTTGTACAATATATCGTATGATTAACTAATTAGGTGTCTAACCTAGACAACATCCTATTTGACAATGTCATACTGTATGATGCAATGTAGAAATGGTGTTTAGATTAGTAGCTATAAATAGAACATGTTTACAACCGTTAACAATATACCACACAGTAGATTAACTGACAAAAAATGTCTGACATAGAGAAGAGAATAAGATCAAAATTTCAGGCTCTTTGGCCAAAACATTTGTATTTGAAAAATACCAGATTTACATCATATGAACACATTCAATTTCAGGAAGAAAAGCTATTTGCAGAATTAGGTTTTTCTATTAATTTGAATTTTAGGTTTCTTTTTTTGGTTTAAGTAAGTATTTACATGAATCCACAAATCAACAAAAATCAATACTAGAACAGATAACTAGAACAGTTTAAAGTCGAAAAAAAAAATTCCTGACAGATCTTGGACTCGTAAGGTCCAGGCCACGTATTCTCGAAATGATTTTATCGCTAGGATATCTTAAAAACTGTCATAGAAGTTATGACCCTATGATATCCTAGCGCTCTGTTGTTTCGAGAATACACAGCCAGGCCACACATTGTCTCTAAACGATCTTAATGCTAGGATGTCCTAGAATCAATGTTAGTAGTTATGACCCTAGGTATCCCAGCACTCTCTTGTTTGAGAATACATAGCCAGGCCACACATTGTCTCGAAACGATCTTAAAGCTAGGATGTCCTAGAATCAATGTTAGTAGTTATGACCCTAGGTATCCCAGCACTCTCTTGTTTCGAGAATACACAGCCAGGCCACATTTTCTTGAAACGATCTTAAAGCTAGGATGTCCTAGAATCAATGTTAGTAGTTATGACCCTAGGTATCCCAGCACTCTCTTGTTTCGAGAATACCCAGCCAGGCCACACATCGTCTCGAAACGATGTTAATGCTAGGATGTCCTAGAATCAATGTTAGTAGTTATGACCCTAGGTATCCCAGCACTCTCTTGTTTTGAGAATACATAGCCAGGCCACATTTTCTCGAAACGATCTTAAAGCTAGGATGTCCTAGAATCAATGTTAGTAGTTATGACCCTAGGTATCCCAGCACTCTCTTGTTTCGAGAATACAAGCCAGGCCACATTTTCTTGAAACGATCTTAAAGCTAGGATGTCCTAGAATCAATGTTAGTAGTTATGACCCTAGGTATCCCAGCACTCTCTTGTTTGGAGAATACACAGCCAGGCCACATTTTCTTGAAACGATCTTAAAGCTAGGATGTCCTAGAATCAATGTTAGTAGTTATGACCCTAGGTATCCCAGCACTCTCTTGTTTGGAGAATACACAGCCAGGCCACACATTGTCTTGAAACGATCTTAAAGCTAGGATGTCCTAGAATCAATGTTAGTAGTTATGACCCTAGGTATCCCAGCACTCTCTTGATTCGAGAATACACAGCCAGGCCACATTTTCTCGA